CAAGGCCAAGGGTGCATTACAAGCGTCAACCTCTGTGCCCATGGGGCCTCAGAGTAGCTGCTGACGTCCTTACCCCATCTCATCTGCAATGCCTCCCCCAGCACCACTGCATTATGTTGCATTTGCATCATCTTGCCTCTGCATTGCCTCTGCAAGACTGCCCCCCCGCCCCCCCATTTCACTCCCTCTCCTATTCCCTCTCTCTTCTCTTGCCTTTTTTTTTAATATATATCTGCCCCCCACTCCTTCCTCATCAACCCACTCTCCAGTGTCACGCTGGTGCCAATCTACAGGGGCTTGGTAGTGAGCTGCTGTGTAGACAGGGCAGTACAGGGCAGGGCATGGCTCGGTCGATCTGCAGCAGCAGCAGCAGCAGCAGCAGCAGCAGCATTCGTGTTTGAAGTGAAGGTGGTGTGTAGTGTTCGTGTATTGGCAGGGAATATGCAATGAGCCCAGAAAAGATTACGTTGCGGTAAAAAAAAAAAAACAAGGGGGGGAATGCATCAGAGGGAGGAAATCCCTAGCAGGAGGATCCCAGCTCAGGGCTTTCTCCCTGGCACCACCCTCCGCCTCCCTCTCCTCTTTCCATCTCTCTGCCTGGTTTTTCCCTCCCTTCCCCCTTTTTCCCTCATTCCCATCCCGTCTCTTTGAATTGGTCTCTGTGCATTGATCTTTCTTGCGATTTTTTTCTCTCTGTTTTTTCAATCCGAGGGGTTTTTATCCCTGTTGGAGGAGTGGGTGATGCAATCCACTGCCACTCCAGTCCCCTGCCTCCTCTGCACGTGTGTGCATACATGTGAGTGGGCGTATTTGCCTTTTGTATGTACATGCATTTGTTCTGCCTCTACATGTGTTGTGTGTGCATCATGAGGACGTGGATATCCACAGCAAAAGCTCTTCTGGCCCTTTGACTATCACTGTGTCTCTTAACCCTGCCTGAACACACTGTATCACAAAGGGAGGGTTTGCACAACAGGTGGATTTCCATGTTAGCGATTGTGCCAACGATGCTGATAATGGTGGCTTTTATGTAGATAAGCCTCTTGGTGCAAGTGGGCCCCATGTAGCTAACAGGTTAATGGGTGCTGGTGTCTTCACCCCGGGGGCCCAGCATTGACGTACAGGGTCTTTCTGCCCTTGGCCACAACAAGTGGACTGCGCTCCTGGAGCTCAATAGAAGGCAGGCTGTTCTGCCAGGCCTTTATTAAAGGGCTGTTTGTATTGCCTGCTGTTTTTTTCATTAGGTGGAATCTTATATCATCGCCTCTGAATATTGCATGAGGTTCAGCGAGGCTTGGTTGTCGTGACACCGCCGTAATATTTCACAACAATCAAAGATGGATGAGCCTATTCTTCTAGGTAAATAGAGAGAGGCCTGGCACAGCAGAGGAAAAGCCCAAAGATGGTGACGGCGACACTAAGGCACCGTAAAGGAGGCTGGAGGAGGAAGGGATGAAAAAAAGAAAAAGCCCAGAAGAGTGATTGGAGTCCATAAAAACAAAAACGCAGTGTCAGACAAATGGAGCAGGCAAGAGATGAGAGAGAAAGGTAAATGAGGGAGAAAGGAGAGGGAGAGGACAAGAGAGGGAGATGGAGTGGGAAATCTTAGACAGAGTGAGGAAGCTAAAAAAGAGAGAGATGGGGCTATTAGAGTGTAGGGAGGAAGAGAGAGACCCATGCTGCTCCTGGTAATTGAAAAGGCACCGGGACTGATTTAGAGAGGAGCTTAGTTGGGGTTTGTTGGGATGGGGAGGGGGGAGGGCGCTGCATTGCAGAGTGCAAGGACCCAGGAACCGCCAACCCCCTGCAGTTCTTTGCTCTACCACCTCTACAGTCGTCATTAGCTCAACACGGAGAAAATGACCCTCCAAGGCCCATAAGAAGCAGTGAGGCTGCAAAAACATTATGGCTCGATCCATATGAGACAATTACAGGTGTGTGTGCTTTTCTGCCATGAACAACACAGCAAGATAAAGAATTAGAGAGGAGAGGGCTTCACGGGGCGCAGATAGAATACAGGAATGAAGTGGGAGGAAAGTGTTGCCACAGGTGAGGTCATGTGTGCAGGAAATGTTCAAGTATTCCAGTTCTGATGTTCTTTATTACAGCGCTTCTGATTCTCTACCTTTAGCTTCAACAAGGATCGTTCTATCCCTTTAATTTCAGTGTGTGAGAGAGAGAGAGAGAGAGAGAGAATGTTAGAAAGTGCCAGAAGCCTCCCCATATTGATGTTGTGCCTGGCTCACTTCACCTCATCCACTTCCTTAACTTGCTAATACAGCTGGACACTACACCAATAAACAGGGCTCCATGTCATCAAACAAATGCCTGGTCTGCACCATAGACTGTACGGTCTGCACCTGCCTACACACACACGTTCATACACACACACATACATGTATATAAATATATATATACATGCAGCCTACCGACCCTCTCATAGACACACACACTCCTGCTGTATGTCATGGGCTTGTCTCATAAGTGCCTGTTCTTTCCAGGGGCGCTGATACGTGATACCTCTGCCCGGTCAATCCTTCTCGCATTACTGCCTCCGCAGTGTGCTGCTTCATTTACACGTGAAATATTGATGTTCTTAATTTAACCCCCAGGGTGCTCAGGTGTCGCCCCCCCCCCCCTGAAAGGAGGGTAAGCCTTTTCTAGAGAACCGCGCAACAGCCCCAATGCAGAAACAGAAACCCTTTCCAGCTTGGGATTGGTTGACAGGATGAGTTTAGCTGAGCCTCATTGGCTGGCTGGCACATAGAGCGGTAGCACAAACCCACTAGCGGAGTCGTATCCCAGTGGGTTTGTCTTCTTTTTTTTTTTATGTCCCACCTGTTCTGTGTATGTGCTTGTGTTTTGCAGGGTTGATACCTGTGTGCCTGTTTGCATTGAGACGCCATGCTTGTCAACTTTGACCCCTTTTTTTCCAACCATCGGTTGCAGCTATTGGTCCAGTTCAAGATAATTTGGTGTTTTCACTGGTTTTTGCAAGACAGTGTGGAACCCTTAACATATTAAATATGAAAAACATCAACAAAACAACATGAACTTTAATGAAGCAAAATCTATAAGTTTACAAATGAATTTTGAAATTATTCTATTGAAATGAATCAAAACTCAACTTTACGTTGATATTTTATTTCATTATCAACATTTTTATTTAAAAATGCTTCCTTTTTGAAAAGAGTAATGGTATAATTCACTGACAGTTCTAATTCATGATGCGTTTTCTGTCACCAGTTCTGTCACCAGTCCCCCCACCACCTTTAAGCCAATCACAGCTTTGAATAATGAGGCTCAACAACTACCACCAGATTCAGCTACCTACTTTTAACTTGAGCAGCAACCGTACTGCTGTGATTAAACATTTTACCACTCAGTCATAGACTTTATATAAAGATGGATAACGCATCTCCACTCCCCACACCCCTCCCACTTAACAGAAATGAAGCCAAAGAAATCCTGAAATATGAAAGTTGCCATCTTGTGCCGATGACATCATTTGGAGTCAGAGCAGTAGCTATAGGGGATGAAGCCGTGGGCTCAGTATTGAACCTCAGCTTTTATGTGGTTTAACAAGGCTACATGCTTTCTACCTAGCCTGCCAGCTACAGTGAGGATGGGTTTAAAAAGGCAGCTTGTTGTCAGACTGAGGATCAGCTTTAAGTCAGGAGTCATTCTAAAGACAGAGGGTCCCAAATCTAAAAACTGTCCAGGCTGTTCCACTGTGAGAAAAACATGTCTGTGAAAATACCAATAGTAAAAAAAAAAAAAAAAAAGGGAAAAAGATGATTTTGAAATGGGAAATACATTTTTATAATAATAATAAGGGTTTACTTTTAGTAATTTATCAAATAATCTCATAATCTGTTACTTAATTTATGAAGTCCTCTTCATTCACTTTCATTTTTATACATATATTTAACATTGGACATTAAAAAGAGCTCTGTTACTTTCCTTGAAATGTAAATTTTATGGTTTGAGCACTGGACCAGTTGAGGTAACCAAGTGCAGCAGTGCTTCACTCCCAGCTGTCAATCATATGTACGGCTCTTCTTACTGGCTGGTGGGGTGCTGCAGGGAGGGGCCTGTCAGGAGGGCTCTGTAACTAGTTTGTCTGGATTTCTTTCAGAATAAAACCCCAGAGCTATAATCAGGACAGGGTTCCTTCTGAGTCACTCTCTCCTCCTCAAATGATATGATTAATGCAGGACAGGCTCGATCCACAGCAGCTAAATGGCACCTAACATGAGAGAATGTGTGAGGAATGCAAAGAATGCAGTGTCCCTTATCTGTGTAAAAAGAATGAGGTGTGTGTATGCTTGCATGTAAGGGCAGGGCTCTCCATGATTTATCTTGCCTAGTTTATGTGTAGGCTGGTGGAGCTGTCTCAGTCTATATTTGCTCCTTTCCAAACATGGTCAAATTACACTCCAAATATAGTAAAACCATTTTGTTCTGACTTGCCCTTTTGAGCATTTGCCTCACCTCTAGCATCATGGAGGTGAGGAAGACACGTTCCTGCCTTCGGTACTCTGTGTGTGTGTCTTTTAAAAAGTGCACACAGCAGTAGTGTGTGGCCTGGTTTGCCTTACTAGGACAAGCCAACATCGGCAGATGCAAGAGGGTTTATTCAAACTCCCACTTGCCTTTTCAAAAACCCCCAACATCCCAGTTACAGCATGCTGCTGTTGCCTAGCAACCAGCTGTGTCTTGAGAGAGAAGAGAGCCGTCATAGATGTGTATGTATATCCTCGGCTGAGCAAGAGCAAACACTCTGCTGCCTCTCTCTCCCCTGTGGGCAGCTCACTCACTCTCTCCACAACCTCACTGTCATTTAATGGGGGACAGTATGAATCCTGCCTCTGCTCAGCCTCACCCAGTGACAGTGCACATGAGCAGAACCGTGCTCGGTAAATGACCTAGAGATTTGTAATTCTGTCTTTGAAGAACATTTTCACGTTCAGGCTTATAAAAAATGACATTAGACGCGATAAAGTTCATGGTCTTTTATTTGAAAAAAAAAAATAAAGACTAGCATGTACAACTTGGAATGAATGTAAACTGAACTCAGATGAACAGCTGCGAAGACTGGTGCACTGACACTCCTAACAGCATGCGCTGCAAACACAGTACACCCCTCACTACGCTTTTGTCTGAGTCGAGAAACAGAAGAAGAAAAAAAGTGAAGGCCAGTGATTCTCTCTTGCAAGAAAAGAGGACAGACACTCCATCTCAGCAAAAAAATAAAATAAAAAATAAAAGAAAGCTCACCGTAAGACTCTTTAAGTCCCCCTCCTTTTAAAAGGGCAGGACGCACAACTACTAAGATGGCCGTCCAAATAACATAACAAAAACAAAAGAACATGCCAAACATTTGAAAATGTATTTTTTGTACATTGTTTTTTTCTCTTTTTATCTAGCATACAATTAAGTCCCATTCCACTTTAACGCTTGAGTTAGAACCTGGTAAATTCTCTCATCTTAACAGTACAGGGTTCCTCTCCAAATACAAAAAAACTGTACCAAACCAACAAGAGGACAGCTTATAGTGGAATCAGCACGCTCTGGTAGCCCGGAGGAGGGATGGGGGGGCATGGGGGTTAGTGCTCCGGTCTCAAGCTGCATGCATGAAGAACAGAAAACAGAGAGAGAGAAAGAAGAGATGGCCAGCCCAGACATTTACCATTAGCAAATGGAACTGGAAGGAGTTCGCCAAATGCTTTAGCTTTAGTCTGAAGGTAGTAGATACAGGGTTTGTTGTTATTATTTTTACTTGTTAAGTACTGATGCTAAACTGATCTCCGGGGGGAGGGGACAGGATCACTAACCATCATTTTCATGCAGATATTTTTTGTATATTTTCTTTATATTTTTTCCTGTGTGGACAGAAGGATAGATTAATTCAACATTCAATTATTTTCTATACAGAAACAGTATGAATAAATGAACATTTTTCCAAGAGGTAAGTAAAACATTTTGACTTTTTTTTTTCTTGTTTTTTCCTTTTTTTCTTCTAAGAGGGGACAGGGCGGGGCGGGCAAGCTTCACTTTGCGGTCATCATCTGTACAAACTCTGCAGAGAGAGAGAGAGAGAGAGAGGGAGAGGAGAAGAGACAATGAGGTCATCAGGTTTAAGGCTTTGGTACAGCCTGTTGCCAGTGAGAGCAAATCACCTGCTAAACTGTTAAACGTTTTATTGTTTTTTTTTAATCAACTTGAGCAGGTTGAGAACATCTTAATTGGTGTCCCCTTTCCAAACGGCTTTCGTGTTCATCTCATTAAACCCATTTGATTAAAAAGCTTCTACGTTGTGCTTACAGTTTTGCAGACACACACACACAAAATAACTAAATAAGAGGCTTTCATTGTCCGTAGAGTACACATTCTGTCTGTGGTATAATGAGAATGTGAAAGTAGGGCACTTTTCAGCCAAGACTTATGGACTTTTCATAATATATCAACAGCCTTCTAGAAAATGAGCGCAGTCTGTCGTGTAATGTTGCCGAGGGACTGAAGAGGGGGGGATGGGAGAAAGAGAGAAAGGCTCCTGGCACACTGATGATAATTCAGAGGGATAACTTTCACTCATCTCTGTTTCACCACGCTCCATGTATAGCCCCTATCTAATAACTAATATTACGTGTGGCTGGCTTATCTTGCAGCCGCCCTCAGAGAAATACAAAGCTTGGAAAGTGAAGTGTTCTGGTCCCCCTGTTTAATAAAAGCTTACACCGTGGCCTAGAAACTAAAGCTATTTGTGCACTGTTACATTTTTGTTTTTAATTTATTTTTTACCTTCATAGTTGACCTGTCCGTCTCCGTCAATGTCTGCTTCTCTGATCATCTCGTCCACCTCCTCATCTGTTAGCTTCTCTCCCAGGTTCGTCATGACGTGACGGAGCTCTGCAGCGCTGATGTAGCCATTTCCGTCCTGGAAACATGCAGCATGGGAGCAAATGTGTAAAAAACATGTAAAACAATTCCCCACAGGTGGGGCAAAAGATTCCCAGCAGATCAATTAATGAGCTGAGAAGGTGGTGGGTGTTTAACAAGCAGCAAGTTAGACACCCATAACTCTCCACCATCAGAATAATCTTGCTTGCTTTATGTACTAAATAGCTGCAACCACATTTTCTTGGGCTCCACAGAAAAATTTGAATTAAATTTAACTCTGCTTACCAAGTGTACAAACAGTTATATACCCTCATTATGCGGTTTAAACTTTATTTACCTTGTCAAATACCCGGAAAGCCTCACGAATCTCCTCCTCGCTGTCTGTGTCCTTCATTTTTCTGGCCATCATGGTCAGGAACTCCGGAAAGTCGATGGTTCCATTACCTGAAATGTGTGATCAATGAAGCACATTTAATTAGCAAAAATTGCAATTACTTAAAAAGCAAACTCAGATAAGTAGAGATAATATAACCCAGCATTTAGCTGATGAAAATCACTCGGCTTGAAAATATTTGTGTAGTGCTCCTGTCCTCCTTTTTCCCCTCCTGTGTGTGACAGTGGCTCTTACATTAGTGTATGGGCCACAACCTCTTCTCTCCAGAGGTGACTGTGGCAGTGACATGAGTAATCGCAGTGAGGGCAGCCGCCCTCACATCATTTTAGTGAGCACCTCCCTTCCTGTGATAAACACAGCTACTGCTGTGTGTAATTCCCTTTACTTTCTTTAGGGAAGCCCTGGGAGGAGGTTACGTATGTTACACGGCACAGCGGCACTGCGGGGGGAGGGGCCATGGCTATTCATCCATAATGTAGGTGTAGCGTATACTGTGCAGCTTGGTCTTCGAGGAGCCTGGATAAATCAAAAGCTTATCTCTCCTGGTGCCCCCGTCAGAAACTGAAGCTGGAGGGGAAGTGAGAAGGACATGGAGTGGGGGAAGGGGGGGCTTCAGTCCAGATGCTACATCCCTCTATCCCACTTTTATCCACTCTTTCTTTCTCCCTTTCTGGGCAGTGTTTGCATGTATTTTTTGGGTCGTCTCAAAGTGTGACCATTAGGACGGTTCTGTCAGTGTTGCTGGTGTTTTTGATTTTGCTAATTGGTGGTGGTGCATGAATGTGTGCAGTAGGATCAATATCCATGTTGCTGTTGTCAAGACAGGATTACTAGGGGATCAGACCCTCTTGACAGGGGAAGGATCTATGAGGAGCTCAGCGGTTCACAAACTGCAACCACAGACGACGGGAGGGTGGATGGTATTTTCTGTACATGTTATAGATATATACGTATGCAGGAGTGTGGAGGTGAATTTACAGAACAATTAATACAAATAAAAAACAGAGAATTTTGTGGGGGAATAAAGTGAAGGGCAGGGACAGTGAAGGGAAAAGAACTGAGGAGGATTAGCCCAGGGGTGAGGGGGTTTACAGAGCATGCCTCAGAGAGCGAGATATAGAGAGAATGGATGTATGTGTGTTTGTGTGGAACAAAAAGGGATGCAGTAATATGATGGGGCAGATGGTGATCTCATGACCCGGGGTAACAATCTAAGGACCTGTTATCTAACACACAGAGACAGCCAAGAGCACCAAGGGAAAACATGCTGTCGCCCAAGGGTGGGTGACTAAAGAGGGGGGGTGTCCCAGTCTTCCAGAGGGGCAAGACTGGAAAACTATTATATAAAAGGCACAACGACTAGAGAAGAAGCAAGGTAGCCCTTGAGTGATATCTGCTCAACTGCACCTCGGGCCAGCTGCTGCAGTGGAAGGAGGGAGGGAGATAGGGAGGATGGCAGGCGGGAAGAGAGAAAATGGTGGGAGGGAAAGAGAGAGAGAGAAAAAAGAAGAGGGAGGGAGTGGGCGGTAGAGAGGGAGATGGAGATGAGGGAGATGTGAAGAGTAGAGAATATAAGGAGTGAACCGAGTGGGAGATGGTGCGATTACACATAAGAGGTGCTGACGCAAACTATAGAAGGCTGAGGCATCGCAGTGCACTGGTGTGTGTGGTCATTGTTTTCCTTGAATCATAAAGCCAAGTTCCATCCCTGAGATAAGAAAGAGGGGTGGGATTGAGTAATGACAATGAGTGATTTGCCGGCACTAATGCTAGTATTTTTGTCCTGCAGTTATTTAATCCTAAATTGAATTGGTTTATCTTGTCTCAAACGTCTCTATTACATATTTTACCTTAATGTGCGCATGCGACATATTCAGCATCCCTGCATCGTTTTAAGAAGGCATGGTTAGTTAGGCAGCAATGCCATTTCAAGCTGCAATCGTTTTTACAATCAAATAGCCAAGAGACTATTTCTTTTACCAGCTCTCCGTCTACATAAAGCCCTCCGTCCCTGCTTCCATTTACTGTCATTCTTTACCACAGCATCCTTGTTTGGTAAATAAAGCTGATTTTCAATGGGCCAGCTGACATCCCATGGCTGTCGATGTGGGTACGGGATGTGCAAAGCGCAGAGAGGCCTTATGCAACCACTTTTATTTTCCATTACTAGCTTCATTGCTGTCTGACCTAGATTGCATCAGCCAAGGGAGGCAGAGGCAGAACAAGGGGATGTTAGTGATGGTGTGTATGTTTGTGTGCTTGCTCTTTAGTGTAACTGAGGGGGAGGGTGCTGAGGAAGGTGGGAGGATGTTTCAATAAAGGGGCAGCCAAACTGCGGAGCAATTGATTTCTCCTGATCAATGCAGTCCCATTTACAAAATCCTATAAGCTGACAGAGCACCACTGGGGTGCAGGCCCCACTGACAGCTAACATCCTCGACTCTACCACCCAAGGACGGTCAGCTTGAAGGCGATGAGCCTAATTCTCAGACTCCTTTCCCCTCTCTCCTTTTCTGTCTCTCTTTGTATCACTCTCTTTCAATCACTGTGCCTCTGTGAGATGCTGCAGTGCAGGATAAAGAGGAGGTGAACAGAAGAATCTGTCTCAATTATGGCACTCAGCATGGGGCAGCAACACTGACAGTCTTTTGACACGTAGCCTGCTCTTCTCACCAGCTCTGTGAGCACCTCCTGCACATCCATATCTCAGACAGTGAGTGGCAGTGACTAAAGTGCTGACACAGAGGGACACGTCATCTGAAAATAAAGCTGGCCGGACAGTTGGCTTGGACAGTTGGTTGACAGTTGGCAGTAAAGGGAGGGAGGTGGGCAGCAACAGGACTGATGTGTTTTCAAAATGGGTGATGGATGCTCCATCTAATCCCTTATCCATTTGTAACAGAGGTTTTATCACTGCAGTCATGCAATGTAGTGATAATGGTTTTATTCTACCAGAAGAGCTGAAATGAATTGATAAATCTCTGTAGCTAGGACTGAGGTAAAATCAGGAGCTGTAAGAAATGATGCAGTTGTAATGTGTGTGTCTGCAGTTAGCAGTGACAGTTGCTTGATGTTTTGTTGATTTAAAAGTAAGTTCACAGTAAATAACTACTGTCTAACACTCAGAGTCCAGTGACATATGGAATCCTGGTTGAAACTTTTTCTATAAAATAGATGTATTTCGTGTTTTTTTATTTGTGATGCAAGACATTTATAGCATCCTATGTTGATTTAGTCCACTCTTCTGCTTATTATTTAGCAGAAATCAGCTGACTCGTAGCATTTTATCTGTGGCCTCAATTCAAGATTGAACACATTAGATAAAGATTATTGTGAAAAGCACCGTATAAACTGTTTCCATTACATAATGTGGGACCGATCAAATAGGTTATGTTGCTATATTTCCCTAATTTGGCATCTTATATGACCTATTTAACAGAGAGCTTAATTTATTCTTACATATCAGAAATTAGTCATTCTCACCTGTTCATGATATGGGTAAATTGAATACAAGTATACTGACCGTCAGCGTCCACTTCATTGATCATGTCCTGCAGTTCAGCCTCTGTGGGGTTCTGGCCCAGCGACCTCATGACAGTGCCGAGCTCTTTGGTGGTAATGGTGCCGTCACCATCCTTGTCGAATAAGGAGAAAGCCTCCTTGAACTCTGCAGGGGTGGAGGTAAAAGTGAGAGGTTACATTAGTGTTGTGGTGCAGTTACAAATCGTGGGTTATGTTAGGACGCTGAAATCAGGGCCAAAAGGTTGATTCTTGAGAGTGATAAGACTTGAGTTAACAGTTAATTCTTGTCTCTAAATTTGCCCACATGAGTGTGAACACAACTCAGGCTGGAAATGTGCTGAGTTCTGAAAACTCAAGAGATCTTATCTCATTCTGTGAAAAAAAAAAGAAAGCGAAGCAGAAGATTTCAGTGTGAGAAGTTCTCTGTTTTTTCTTTATACAAGCAGGCCTCTGAACTACTAGGCCATAGAAACCCGTCCAGGGAAGTGCAGGCGATAGTGAGCATTAGCACAAGCTAATTAACCACAGAGGCGGTTTGGCTGATAGGAAACTGTGCAGCCTCCAGTTTTAGGACAGAGCCCCTATCATTTATTCATCAGGAATATCAAGGTGCCTGAGAAAGAGAAACTACTTATAAGGCTGGCCTGGAAAACTGTCTATTCACTGGAGCTTCGTGGCTTTCGATCCTGACTCATGACATGCTGTAAATACTTGTTCCTCTTACTTCTGTTCAATTTAAAAAGCTAATGATCTACCGAGGGAGGGTAGGTGCCTTATCATTCAATTTTCCATGTCATGACACATTCTCTGAAAGTGTGTTAGAAGCAAACAGAACAGCTAATGAGAACGAGGAGGAGGAACTTTATTGAATATATTTCAAAGGGTGGAATTGATCCGCCAGAAGCCAGTAAATATGTGAAGAAAGGACTTGGGTGAAAGAAGAGAAAATCTCTGTTCCTACCTGCAATCTGCTCCTCTGTTAGTTGGTCAGCCTGTGGGGGGGGGGAGAAGGAGAGAGAGAATAACAAACAAGTTATTCAACAAGGCAATTATTCCAAACCTCAAACTTTCGTCATTACATTCCTCATCTCCCCCACCCACCAACCACACAGCTTAACACTGTCCACAGTGTTCAGGGGTCTGATGGCCTCAGTGCAAAGAAATCCCCAGAGGCCGTAACTGGAATCTACTCATGGGGCTGCCAAGATTTAACAATAAAAATAACAATTGCCCCAATTAACCAAGAGCCACCGTTTGCAAACTTGTTTTAAAATCTGCAACTTAATATTTCATTTAAATGACAGAATTACAGTACCTACAGAGTTGGGCCCTTTAATGACTTAAAGCCAATTGTAGTCCATCTTGAATTCAGATAATTATGAACTCAGTTAGACATCTTTCCTTGATAGCGGATGCTGATCAGGTGTTAAAAGGTTATGTTTGTTTGACATTGTCTTATAACGCTAACATATTGCAAGCTTTACAAAAAGGTACTGCATGAGGTTAAACTTTGAGCTAATGTGTGGCTCCCTGGGATTGTAAAAAATAAAAAAGCAAGCAACGCCATGGTGGTCCTCCACAAAAAGGGACTGCTGGGAAACAAATTGTAATAAAATGGATGAAGTGCTGTCTCCAGACCAGCAGAAAATGTTTAGGCGGGGTTGTTTTAGGACATATCAGAATGGGAGTGTTTTCCATGGTCCTACCAACAGGAAAAAAAAGAGGCCTGCTGGGTTGGCACTGTTTGGTTCCCCTCCCAGCCTGTTCCCTGCACGAGCTGGGGATCGTTCATGGCTGATAGTGACTCACACATGCTGTAACTGGCTTGGAAGCGCGCATCCACTGCCGGGCCTTTTACATAGATGGATTCAGGCTTCTTTGTAAAGGCAGCCACTGATTTCAAACAAACACCCACAGCAATAAAAGTGTGAATACAGAGCTTGTGGTGCAAAACACTCCCACGTGTAGCCCCCCCATCAATGTCTCAGGAAAAAGGGGAGTTTGTTTTATTACTATTTAGTATCAACCCACTGACATCATTGTGCCTGGATACAAAGAAAGAACACACACAGACAAACATGAGTGCTCACAGATGTGCACATGCATTCACACACTAATGTTCATGCATGTTTACACATTGTCTCTTTTTGGTAGCTGCATTCATTTCCTTGAGACTTACTCTAACCATAACATAAACTCGCCTAACCTTCATCGCTGACCCAAAAAACTGTTTTTCTCCAACTGATTACACAACTTTGGTCCCAAATTGGACAAGCCACCCTCAATGTATTGGTTTTCAGACCAATATCTGTCCCCAACGATAGCCTATGCTAGAAACAAGCAAACACCTCTAAATGGAACTCTTCCACAACACCAATACTTTCCACCCCCATGTTTCCTGTGAATTAGTCAGAGTTGTCAGCTGTGCCTCAAAGCGAATTCCTCCAGCCCATCGGTGTGTTTATGTGTTTGTGCGAGGAATCCAGCTTTGGATACAGCCGAGCACACACACCAATAACAAAGTTGTCCTTCCTCACAGCCAACACAAACTTGTCACATTAAAAATGCCAGTGTGAGTAACAAAATGATTTAGTGGGACTCATGACCAGAACAGCAACACCTGTTTTTCCTGCAGTGACCTTCCAAAATGGCTGCCGTGAAAGAAGCCTATCCCATGACCGAAAACCTAGACCTTATTAAGTCCGTGTTTGGAGGTTATGATATTTTATTTGGAAAATCAAGCTAGCAAATTTAATTTGCTGCATAATGACTAGATTTGGTTAGAAGGGATGAGATTTAGCAGATCACCGCATGACACAGCGCAAGCTGACCTTTAACTGTTAAAAAAACAAAAAGGCCTCACTGCTCCTGGCCTGAGCAGCAGTGTCCAGGGGATTGGATCGATCTGGTCAGCGAGGGGTTCATGGATAACTTCAGCGCCGCTCATACAATTAGCTGACATGATTCAATAACCTGTTCCGCACACAACAGGCACTCGCCTGTCTTCTGCCCCCCGCACCCTCTTCCTGTCTCTATTTCCATCTGTGAGAAAAGGGAAATGTCAAGAGACACCACCAGCCTCGCCAGCACTAATATGCCACCCAGCTCGACCCACGTTTTCAGTCTCGTCTGTTTTATTCTTCGCCGCCATCTTCCACACTGTCCCTCTCACCTCGTACATTTTCTGCCTTTGTGTTAATTTCTCACTCTTTCTCTGTCAATGATGATGGTGACGAGGCCTCCTTCCTTTTTTTCCTTAGTCACCCTCTTTGTCATGCTGCATCGCCACTGTTGTATGGTAGCTGTCTCTTTCTGTCCCCTGCTGTCTCCCTAAGTGTACTGGGTGTGGAGTTTGGTGACTCAGTGCTATGGATCCTCCCCTGGCTCAGACCCAAGCTGCTGGGGCCTCACAGTGCTGCTGTACTGCCCACTACCGGCCCATCCCTTCCTTTTCTCCATTTTCTTCCTTTTTCCCCCCAAGCACTTGGACTTGGGCCAATCCAAACTCCTCCTTCTGAAGACATTTCCCGTCTATGTGTATGTTGTCGCTTTCTTTACGTGACATAGGAAACTCCCTGTGAATCACCATCCATGGTGTCTTATGGAGATGGTAATTCACGGCCAGACTTGCAGAGGGTTGGGAGTGCATGTGTTTTTGGGGATGGGTGGTGCTCTGCTGGCAGTGGTCTGTTGGCATGAGGCGGTCAACCACTCCCACTGTTGCCTGGGCAGCCGGCCTCAGCATTGCGATCCAAACTGGGCTGTGGGAGGCAGAGGGCAGTTCACTGGCCAGCAAGGAATATCTTTTACTCCCACTTGATGCCATATCACCTTTGCATCCTTCTCTGTTCACTCTGTTTGACAGGGGGGATGCAAAATGGTGTAAGAGGACACTGATTATCATCTTCTTCATTAGCAGCCCTTTATCATCACTTTCCAGGTTTTTTGAGTTGCCAGTCTGTTACTGTGAGGTGCCAACAGTTCCTTAAGTATCTTCTCAATATTCACCCAGTGAAAGGTGAAAACACCAGCAGATGGGTGTGACACACACACACACACACACACACTCACACACTCTCATACACAGTTCCATTCATCATGATACAAGCACAAACACAAAGAGTCAGTGTGACACACACTCCCACTCTATCGAAGCACCGGGCTCCACTGAGCGGTGAACGCCTTGTCTCTTTGAGACTGGACAAAAGACAGTGAGGCCTCTGGGCCCTGGCTGTGTCAGGGGGGAAGGAGGGCGAGTGGATGGGGTGTAAACAACGGCAGCCTCCCAACATCCTGCAGACAAGGCCAGTCCACCATATGGCCTGGGTGGTGGTGGGTGGCTGGGTACTCCACCCCACCACAGACAGCACTGCATCGTTCCGAGACACAAGGGACATGGAACATGGCTAGGTGTTGCCGTCAAGCATATAAATTATTCACTGCAGCGGATCAGATGTCCTTCAAGTTACTAAACATGCATCAGCAAACAAGAGCGTAACAGGAATATGATAGGGCCTTAGCATGGTCCAACTACTTATTCGATACTTCCACCTCAATGGGGGAGGCTGTTTCCACTTCAGTGGGCGTATTGATGCAGACAAGGGGCTTACGCCTGTGGATTAAACTTTTCAGAGACGCTGATACGCAAGCTAACTCCATAACAATTACACTTTACACTCCAATTACTGCGGCGCATTGCAACGTGAAACTGCATCGCAGCTCGATACCATATATGGGATATTTGATCACAGCGGAGGGAGGGTGGGTTGTGTAGGGGGGTGGCCTACAGCTTCTCGACTCCCTCGGGCCATTAATGATCTATTAAGCTTGATAATCAATGGATTAGCCCGAAAGGCCTCTTTTCCACATCCACTCTTGATAACGTCTCCTTATGTGACGTCGCCGGTGGAGGGGCTCCATTTCATTAGCCGGCTGCATGTGACTGCAACATCTGGTTCTGCAGACATTAATTCGCTACAGAATACTACTTAACCGAGACACATATACGTGATAGATAATCCCGTGATTATATTTCACATTATGTGGTTGGAGGCTGGTTTGGCAATAGTCAAAGCTGTTGATGTTTTGCAGTGGCCAGGGGCAGAAAGAGCTTCTTGGACAACTCAGACTGGCAACACGTTTGCATAGCATCGAGAGAAAAAAAATTTGCAAAGAGGCAACCAAATCAGCTGACATTAAACAGACGGATAACACAGCCCGAGATAAACCCTGACAGGCGGAGCTGCATCTCTCCCTTACGAACCAGGGGGGGTGCTGCACACGTTTAGCTACAACCTTGTCGTTGACAGAATATGGACAGTTTCCGTTGCGGAACACTGACGGGATACAGTTCTCCCTACATCATGACAGGGCACGGCTCGGCTCGGGCAGCAAAGATGGTGCAATCTAGAAAAGAAAGAAGGAACCGAAGCAAACGCAGCAGGCGGCTCCTTCTCAGAGGAGCGTGTTGAACAGGGGGATCAGATAAGAGGACACGGGCAGCTCTGTGACATGTGTAGCTGTGTGGTAAGACCCACACACGGGCTGTGCGCTGAATAAGAACATGGTAATAACAACGGTATTATCTTGCGGGTCATCCCCGCAGCAGTTAATCTCGAGCTGGGGCAGAATCGGAGCCGTGCACCATGACAGCAGCCGCGGAGCCGCTACGTGAGCCGACATGGCCCAATACTGCCGCGCGAGTTGCGCAGTTTTGAGGAAATAACGCTCCGGCTGCGAAGGTGTCCACCATTTTTTTTAGTGAAAAGGCAAAACGCGCACATCGGCCCCAGCTCGAGAGGACTTCGTGTGACTCCACACGCGAGCTAACACGTTGAAGTAATGCGGACTGCGGGCGTTTTCCGTCCACGCACACGCGCATGAATCAATGACCGAGCGGCGGATAGAAGAGAAAAGCGTGGAACAGACGCGGTTTACACGCGGAGACGAGTTCTTTACACGCATTTCCCGTGTTCGCAGAATGAATGGCGATACTCACCATGTCGATGGGTTGTGTGCTTGTTGGTCTGTGGAGGCAGAGTGTGCTCGTTCCTTAGATGGAGTTCCACTGGCGGGTTGGCACTGTGTATATTGGCCGTGGCCAGAATGGGGAGGGGGGAGGGGGGGTTGCCTTGTGTATCCCTCCGCCGCACTAGCACCCACTTCCTTATTTCAAACCAGGGCTGTTGCAGCAGAGGAGAAGCAGGCCTCCTCCTTCTCCTCCTCCTCCTCCTCCTCCTCCTCCTCCAGCAGGAGACATGCCAATCACCGGGGCTCGAACTCCTGCAGTGCACGGAGAGCATCCTCACACTCACGTTCCACTGCACGATGAAGAGGATGCAGTGCACGTTCAGTTGATTATTAGGACCACGGTTCATTTGTGAGATGCTGATGCACATGCAGATCTATGGAGCATCACTACATCAGTGGATGTAAATAAACACAGTGTGATAAATGTGTCACATGTATGTTTCCAGATGAACCATTATTCCCTATTGGTGCTTTTTGGACGACATGTTCTGTTTTGATGTAGTTTATCGTGCGCAAAACATCGCAGGCCGACATAACTGGTTTGGTAGGTAGAGCTTTTAGGTCCAAAGTTAATGTATTATGGTTTGCATTTTCACTATAATTAACTTTAAGTGTGCAAAAACCCCTGAAATGATCATCAACTTTGTCATAACGTTTCTTGCCAAGAAGATAATCCCATGTGTCAATGACCAGGGTACTGTTTGTCTGGATTTGATCTTTTTT